CGAAATACCCAAAAAGAAGTTTGTAAAAAAATGAATCCGCCTCAACAATATAGAACTTATCTAGATAGAAATGTTGTCTGGTCGAGGACTTTTTTAATTTCTCAATTCTCCAGGCGCTAATTATATGCCTTTGCTCTCTATCTGGCTTATTTCGGTGTTAAAATACTGTTTTCTGAAATAGCGGATTTTAGTAAAACTCGCTGCGAATCTGTTCTTATGTAAGAACATGTTTTAATGAAGCCACCAACACCGCTTTGGGCAAGTGGTAAGTTCTTGAGTGACTTGGTACAAAAGCGACCAGAGCTTTTTATTTGGTGGCTGGAATCAACTGATTTTCAACATTTTCAAACATTTTTGTGATCTTGCAGCTTTAAAAACAAGAAACTATTTATGCTTCTTGTCAACTCATAATTTTAGACAGTAATTCATTTTTGTAAGCACGGGGAAGGACTCATGTTTTTCCCCCGAAACGAACGGAATTCTTCCGGTTCTGGTAAATGTTGAGGTTTCGAACGTTTTTACGTGTACAAACAGTAGAAAACCTGTACCAAACCAGGCACAACTTCCGACACAAAACAGATTAATTGAGAAGCTTAGAGTGTTTTTCGTTCAAACTAGTGTCTTGCCCGAAGGGCCCTGCACAACTTCGACAATTAACATTCTCTTATGCATTTGCTGAGCCGAGCCTTTCAGGCACATTCGGAGATTTCTGACAAAAAAACTGATCATTAGAAAAGTTTAGAATGTTTTTGCGTCCAAACCAGTGACGTGCCCGAAAGAAACATTTCCGAGTCTTTAGTAAACTTTGTTCATTATTTTTTCTTAAATAGTGTTTAATTTCATTTGAAACTAAAGAGTTTTATGGGGTTTTAGGTCGCAGTAGAAAAGAATTGCTGAGGTTTCGCCAGCACGAATGCCGTGCATCTTCAGAGATTCCTTGCTTGGCGCATCAACTATTTCTGAAAATGCAAGCCACTAGTGCCCGTCAAAGGAATAATTTTTTTCTCGTTGGCCACAACACCCAAAAAAGTCGACAGTTTTTAGTGGATTTGTTGTTCCGAGCTCTTCGGACACGACACTGATTAAAGTCAGTCATTATAATCGGTGTTGCGCCCGAAGGCTTCGGCACAACAAATCCGTTAGAAACTGATGAGTTTTTCGGACTTTCAAGTCGTCGTGGGAAAGCGCGAAAAACTCATTAGTTTCGGGCACGACACTGATTGAAGTACCAAACTGAAAAATTGGGAGATTCAGAGGTTTTTTACTTGTAAGTCAGTGTTGTGCCCAAAGGGCTCGGTACAACAAATCCGTTAGAAACTGAGGAGTTTTCGGACTTTCAAGTCGTCGTGGGAAAGCGCGAAAAACTCATTAGTTTCGGACCGACACTGATTGAAGTACAAAACTGAAAAAATGGGAGATTCAGAGGTTTTTTACTTGCAAGTCAGTGTTGTGCTGGGGGGGTTCGATACAACAAATCCGTTAGAAACTGAGGAGTTTTCGGACTTCTAAATCATCGTGGAAAAGAACGAAGAACTCATGAGTTTGTAATGGATTTGCTGTGCAGAGCTCTTGGGGCACGACGCTGATTGAAGTACAAAACTGAGAAATTGGCAGGTTTAGAAGTTTTTGACCTGCAAGTCAGTGTTGTGTCCAAAGGGCTCGGTACAAGAACTCCATTAGAAACTGATGAATATTTCAGGCTTATAAGTCTTCGTGGAACACAACGAAAAACTCATGAGTTTCTACTGGATTGGGTCTGCCGAGCCCTTCGGGCACGACACTGATTGAAAGAACAAACCGAACAATTGGCAAATTTACGGTTTTTTGACTCGCAAATCAGTGCGGTACCTGAAGGAATTGGCGCAACAAATCCATTGGAAACTGATAAGTTTTTCGCGTTTTTCCACCCCAACCTAAAACCCCGAAAAACTCATCAATTTCAAATGGATTTGTTGTGCCAATTCCTTCGGGCACCGCATTGATTTGCGAGTTAAATGCGAGTGAATTGAATATTAATAGAAAAGGCTCAAAATGGAGTCATAATGCATTAAATAAAATTAGGCAGATTTTTTCTACAGAACACTGTTTTGTTCTCGAATTTTCGAAAAAATTATATAAAAAATAAGGCTTTTGTGAGCACTACTGCCCAAAGGGCTCGACACAACAAAACCATTCGAAACTGAAAGTTTTTCGCGAAAAACGAACGAAATTATTCGGGTCGCTGTTCTGTGAAATTTTGACTTGTTTTCTCTGAGGACAAATGAAGTCAAGCTTTAGAACATTTTTATGTCTCATTGTAGTAAACCAGTGACGTGCCCGAAGGGCCCTGCACAACTTCGACATTTAATATTCTCTGATGCATTTGTTGTGCCTAGCCTTCCGGGCACATTCGGAGATTTCTGACAAAAAACTGATCAATAGAAAAGTTTAAAGTAATTTTGCGTCCAAACCAGTGCCGTGCCCGAAGGGCTCTGCACAACAAAAACGGACGAAATTATTCCGGTCGTTCTTCTGTGAAATTTTGACTTGTTTGAAGCATTCACAAATTGAGGCATGGCTTGAATGTGAGCCTGCCCTTTACACAAAATATCAAGCTTAAATGATCGAATCGATAGCTTAAAAATTCGATGAAAAATCGACTCATTCCATAGCTGGCATTTTGTGTAATATAAAAATGTCTAATGCGTCCCATTAACCGATTTGTTTAGCTTTGACTGTTTTGTTTACGGCGTTCATCCAAACAGGTTGGAATGCGAAACTTGTTTATGAAAATATTGCCATCCGAACAGGCACTTTCTACAAAATGGTCATCCACAAAAAAACTGAAATCGAACTACAAAGCAAAGCTATGACTCATGTTCTAAGGGCGAACAAGGAAATGGTTATATCATGGTTGGTTCAGTAGTTCAGTAGGTGCTTTCCGAATGCGGCGAAATTTCGATATCGCATGAGTTTTTTGCAGAAAGTGCCTGAATATTCACTTTATTGCAAGCAAAGGGCGAAGTCGGTCTTCAGCCCTATGTGTCGTGTGAATCGCGTCCTTAAATGGAAAATATAGAATCATTCTAGCCCCTAAAGCAAGTGCGGTCGTTTATCCTGCTCGTAGAGTTCGCGTTTTTAATTCGAGATGTATTTTCATTGTGTTCAAGTGTTGCGTCGATTTTTTTGTATTAGGGGTAGATAATGGAGCCTGGCGCAAGCCTATTACTGGGCCTACTACTGCTTGCAGAAAGCTGGTAAGAATGATTTCTAGTCTATAAATCCTTTGGGTTGAACCAAACGTCAGATTTTATTCATTAACTCCAGATTTTCTATGGCACACCCTTTTTAAAGGTTTTACAGTCTAAAAGTAAAATCAGTGTCGTTCTTCTGTGAACTACACACTTTCTCGCACTGGATTTTGCATCAATTTTTGATGTTTTATGCTCTCAGTTACACTCTATATTAAACAGTTCTTGAATTCTCATTAGGGATTGCTCAGATTTGCAAATTTCTATTTTTTCCCTATTTTTTTCAACATTAAACGATAAATTAAGCCTTAAGAAATTGCGCGTGATCCTCATCAAACATTTTGAGCTTTTGCTGCGCTGTTTGTCCCCATTTCACAATGTAAACCCATTATTTTTGCCTTATTTAAAACTACCTGACGGTAGGTTGAATTTTGACCGCTTTCCCAAAGCGGATGAACTCGATTGCTTGATCAAAACATGAGTCTTGCAGAAGAACACAAGCATTCACAGCAAGTTTCAATAAAATCCATCGTATCATTTTTCCCGATATTTAACAAAAACATGATTTTTCTGAAGAACTCTGACCATCAATAGTGCAACCAGACGTATCATAAAATTTAAGTCAAATTGTCTTCTTTCGAGCCAAAGAATGTTGCACCACGCTTTTGATCATATACATACGAAACACTCTGCCTATCAAGCTGGCAAAAAATCAGGTTTTAGTGCCATTCGAAGAACATTTTCAGGTTTTTCAATTTCAATTGTGTGTCTTCTTTAAGCTGTGATAGTTTCAAATTGGTTGCTGCCCTAATTTGGAAATTTTCAAGCCAGAAACGCTTAACTTTCTCGCACCTTAACATTCTAAGCGCCGTTAAAACTCACATTAATGTTACTGTAGCTGGCAAGCCGCATGTTGGCCAACTGAGAGGCAGGAGTGAGATTCGTGGAGCTGCCAAAGGGCGACATCATCGAGCTCACCGCTCGCTTCAACTTCGAGGGCGTGGACTTGTTAAACGAGAACGTTCGGCCCACCTGGCAGACAAAAATAATAAAACCAGCGTCAAAACGGCCAGTGTTGTACCGCAAAGCTCTAACCTTCAGTCGCGATTTGGCAAAGTTCAGGTACTTGGACAGGGTGCCGTTGGTTATATCGTTGGTGTCGATGTCCAACTGCTGCGGCTCCAGATAGGCCATGAACTTGTCCTGAAACATCCGCAATTTAATCAGACCCACTCGTTCACTCAAGCAACTGCTTACCGCATCAGCCGAGCAGACATTGTTGGCCATCGTTCTGGTGAGCAACTTCAAAAAGCCCACCTTATCCGGGTATTCATCGGTCATGGCAAACGAGAACAGCTTCTCCTTGCTCTCCTCGCTGCTTTTGCATACCAAGCTGAACACCTTCTGGCAGGCCTCAGTCTCCTTAATGTCTATCACCTGAAACGAACCCGAAAATCATCAGTCAAACGCGCAAACATTACGCGGCCATCAAGCTGACCCTCTTTATGGTGTTCAAGTTCATCATCTTCACGTGCTTATAGAGTTTCACGTTGGGGCGGCCCTGCAACTGAAAGCCGCTGGCCGACGGACTCTTCATTGTGGTCTTCGACTTTTTCTTGCACACCTCCAGCTGGTCGCTGAACACGAACAACACCAAACTGCTGCCTTTGCTCGAGAGGCCTTCCGAGGAGGACAGCTGGACCACTTCCACTTTCGTTATGTAGCTGCGATGCGACGACACAATGTCCGGCTATAAAAAACAAAAATTATCATGAAAAGAACTTAGATGCAACTTAGATGAGGCTTTAGCCTATCTGGATTAAATGGACCAAAGTAAAAGATTCTTGGAAGATGTTCGGAAGGATGCCAGAATATAATTTCAAATTAAGAGAATAAATAATCAAAAAGAGTGCGAAAAACAGTTTTTTGCGTCGATGCGATTGAAAAACGTTGTAGTTCCCGTTCTTCAGCACTAGCGAATTAAGCCCTGCTCAGACTTACCGGGCAGTTATCAATCTCGTTGAAGATGTTGAACAATGTGACCTGGCCTTCGGCCTTGCGCTTGTCTTCGTTGATGTGCGCCATCACTTCGCGTAAGGCTGCCAGCGCCTTTTCGACGGCCGCATGATCCGGATTGGTCTTTGCCGTGTGCTTGAGAATGTCTGGAACAACAAAAGCGCTCTAGATGGACCATCACCAAACCCTGAGTCCGCTGACCTTTGAGCAGCAGGCTGATGCTGCCCAATCTCTGCACAGGCCGGATCATCAGCTCCTGCAAACTCTGGCGGCCGCACTCCGGCTTCGTCTGCATCGCCTTGAGGAAGGCGTGGAAGCGCGGCTTTGATTGGTCGCAGCTGGTCAGCACCTCCTTCATCTCCTCGAAGTAGTTGATGAACGGCGGGTAGGCCCTTTGCAGTTCCGTCGAGTATTTGATGATGATGTTGCCTATGCTGCGCTCCTCGTGCCAATGGGCGATAGTCCAGCGCAACTGGGAGTTGATTATCACTCAAAAATGCTTGCCACACAGATGAACCGTCTTACCTCATCCAGGATTTTCACGTGGGTCTCGTAGATGGGCGGCAACTTGCCGAAGATGAGATTCAACTCGGTGTTGTTGAGCAGAGCCTCCTCGTCCGGCATCAGTTCCAAGTAGTTCTTGAACAGGCTGACGATGGTGCGCAGGATTTCCACGTAGTTCTTCTCGGTCTCCAGCAGCTCGAGCACCACCTGCTGACGGGTGGTGACATTTTTGCGCGGCGATTCTACTTGAGCGTCGCCGCCTTCTACAATGCCCGGTTCGGCCTAAACAACCCAGTCGGTCAAACGGGAGAGTTCGCGTGAAGGGGCAGACTTACCGGACTAGCGGTGCAATCGAGGAAAGAGCCCGAGACGCTGAGACGCCCAGCGTCGCTCACGGAAGAGCGGCGCTTGTGCAGCGCCGGCGACTGCGTCTGCTGCACCAGTGACTGCAGCGTGTCGTGAAGTCTCTTGCGTTTCCTCCTAGAAAAAGCGGTTTAGCCTCAAAAAGGCGGTTTAAAGGGGAGGTTTACCTGCTGGCGCTGCTCGGGGTGGCATGACTATCCCGCCTGGCGGCTGGCGAGACAATGTGCTCGATGTAGTCGTCGAAGAGATACTCCTTCTCGTCGAGACTGCACTCCTTCTGCACCGACGTCCAAAACCACTCGGCCTTGACCACGAAAGCGCGCGGGCCCGTAACGTCGGGACGCTCCACTACGGACGCCTCGTCCACCACCTAAGCGGGGCCCACAATTAATCACTTTTCTTTGCCCGATACGGACCCATCTAGTCTACACGAGCACAGAATCAGGCGCCAACTGAAGAAGGTTAACTCTTGCCCTCGAGAAGAGCTTCTAACTCTAGAGAGTGACTGAGCGGTTGAGTTAGAAGCTCCGCCGTTGGGCCCATGAAACACTCGGCAAGCATGATGTTAGTTGAAGGGCTGGGCCAAGATTCCCTTAAATCGGCCTTTTAAACAACTGACTGTAAGAGCATCCGCAGACGAGCGACTTATGACTCGACAGTTTAGTCGTTAATACCCGACGGCTTCATAATTTCAGATGAAATGAAAACTTGCAAGCTAAAAAGTGCCAATTTGCCAAAAGAAAATCTTCGGCGTCAGTCGCCTGTAGTTGCTGGTAGCGGCTACAAAAAGTAGCTCGTGTGCGCGACTGTATTTAAAACAACGATTTCCGTTTTGAGCGACAAAACTGTCGCGCTCCAAAAGTCGCTCGTCTGCGGGTGCCCTTATAGTATAGCCGACTAAGAAAGGCTTGAAACCAGCCAGAAAATACCAATTAAAGGACCAGAGCAACCACAAGCAATCTGCCAGTTGAGTGCGCCCTAGTGAGCAGTGAAAAACAGTGAAAAACAGTGAATGTTGCGCTGGTCCTTCGAAATTAGCGTTGAAACGTGATATGGAAGTTAGTACCGCAAGAGCAGACGTGGTCCTGGAGGCCGCTGCATTTTCGCTGCCATTATCGCTTTGAAGGGAGTGAGGATTGAGGGAAATGTCCGGGAAACAACTAGCATTGAGCTTCGAGTCGTCTTCGGCGCCGAATGAGGTCATCAGGCTCTTGCTAGACTTGGGGCGAGCGAAGCGCGACGAACTGAACGTTCTGGTGAAGAGATTCTTCTTCGATTTTCGCAATTTGGGGCGCGGCGTGGTCTCGCAGTCCAGACAGGTGTTGAGATTGTCGACAGCATCGGTAGTGAACACTGTGGAAGTGGAAACGACGCTGTCGTTCAGGGAATGATCGAAGCTGGAGGCGTCTATGGTGCGCCGCCGATTGGAAAAGTAGCTGATCGGTGTCTTGAAGAAGTTGCTGACACGCTTGCGACGCTCGCTGTAGCATTTGTCGCGCTTTCTCTTCACCAGAGTATTATCGGGCGATACAAACTTCCGCTTGCGCTTCACCGACAGATTCAGCGACTGGTCCTCAAAGCAAATACTGTCCATCACACTGACCAGATCATCGTTGCGCGAAACTTCCTGCAAAGTCTCCAAGCACACGGTGCTGGAGCTGCCCGGCAGGCAGCTGATGTCAGCAATGCTATTGTTGTTCGGGGTTTTGAGCGCCGGCAATCCGGCCGGCTCTGATAGGAACGATTTAAGGTTGGATTTCAGTTTGGGGGATAGCGGGGTATTGGCAGCTTCCAATCGGTACATCTCCGCGCTTTCCATTACCTAAAACCCACGACCATGTTTAGAGTATCTCAAAGTAGAACAAACAGGTCATTTAAATCGCTGCATTTACTTCATATACTTTGAACTACTCGCAATTGGTGCCCGATGCGCACGTGAAATGAACAAGCACTAACGAACACCAGACGAAGTTACAGTACGTGTGTTGATTAGTGTGCGAACGAAAACTCTACCAGAACCATTCGGGGGGTTAAAATGCTCACCACGTGGCTGCAATTGGGGTCGTCCAGTGTTGTGACGGTGCCTCCATTGGACAAAAGCACTTCCGTCATGTGATGTTCCTCGTCCTCTGGGAAACCCAGGAAGCACACTTTGGCGCCGTGGAAGGGCTTCAAGCGGTAGATGTTCTGCAAAAGAAACCGGTTTGGCCTTAAACAGCCCTGTCACTCCGTCCAGGGAATTACCATGAACATTTCCTGCGAAGCGCTGAAATCCAGATCCCAGCGGTTCTGCTCCCAGCTGTCCAGAACCCATTGCAGGTTCATCACAGGCACCTTGAAGGTGGAGGCGTACTGATATTTGTCACCCCCGCAACTATTGGCAATCAGATGGGTCACTTTGGCGGTCATGTCGCGCCTTATTGAGCCCCCCATGTGGTGGATGAGCGGCACTAGTTTCGTCTGGAACGCAAAAGCCGTTATAGGTGCGAAGCACACAACAACTAAACGCAGTTTCACGATTCCTGCAAGTCTAGCGCGAGCACATCTACAGAGCCCGGCTCAAAAATGTACACAAACAAAGGACTCGCCTACAAAAGAGCAGTTTAGTTGATCATGCACGCTCCTCATACTTGTTGGTTGTTTAATCAATTAGCTGTTGCCAAACACCAGCAGCTGAAAACAAGCCACACTATCAGCGTTGTTATTTTTTCGCTTCTTTGATGGGCGCAAGCCGCAGCAATCGTGCAGATAAGTCCGAAAACAGCGCGATAACCCCAGCGACGGAAATTTTGCCGCGGTTCTTGGCCTTTGATGTTCGTTTTTGCGACTCAAAAAAACCTCCAAGAACTCATCAGCTGAGGTCCAATCCCAGTCATAGCGACTGTTTCTTTAAGATTCACGGCATGGCGCTTCGAATGATATCATCGCAACGGAAATAACGATTTCAGGCACTCACGTTGAAATCCACCCATCGGTAAACGTGCTAATTAATCCTTCACTCGTAAGCAAAACGCGCGCAAAAAACGACCTGCTAATTAGTCGGGAAGTTGAGCGGGGGTGGCACGCAACTGCGTTCCAAACTGTAAATATTTAGCTTACAATTTGGTCATTGATTGAGCTTTGACCAATTGAAAAAAGCAAATACAAGTTGTCCAAAAATTATAACAGAAGGCCAGAGTCGCTTAAAGAGCGCTATCATATTTCAATTAATTCTAGAGCAGGTTCTTAAAATTTGCAATGAAAGTGTAGAAAATTTGGAACTCCTACTGAACAAAGCAAAAAAACTTGAGCAGTTTTTTATTAGCAGACAAAGTAGACATTACTCGGCCAAATTTCGACCAACTTTGGAACTGGATAAGTCCTGATTGCTGAGAGTGATTTGATCTGTTTGAAGCGTTATTTAGTGCAATTACTTTTTTGGTTTGTGTGTGTTTTCCATACACTTATTGCTTCAGATAAAGTTTCTACAGGGTGGCAAATGAAATACTGCAAAATTAATAAGTTCCGCATGCTCCGAGTTGGACAAAAACACATTTTTTATGCCTGGAAAATCACGGTGAATGTTGATGAAACTCGCTGTGAATTTGCTTCTATGAACACTCATCTCTTTTATGAAGCAACCGAGCTTGTCTGCTTTGGGTAAATGAGGAATTCTTGAGTGCCTTGGTAAAAAAAAATCCAGAATTTTTTATTTGATCGCTGAAATCAACTGATTTTAAATTAAGTTTTTTGTAATATCGGGAAAGGGCGCGGAAGAATTTTTATAAAACTTGCTGTAGATTTGCTCGTTTGAATTTGAACTGGCATCTTATTTTCGTGAGATTTCTGAGGAACGCAAATCGGACGTAAACGCTTTTTTGGAAGAACTTTGGCCCTTAATAGCAGAGAAGCCAGGTATGTTTCCTTAATAAAAGTTGGGTCAGATCGTCATCTTTTGCGCCAAAGAATGCCGCAGTACCCTTTTGATAATGTGCCTGTATTGACGATAACTAACGACAAACTACTCCAACGCATGAGTAAACCAAAGGACTTGCTCAACACCATCAAAGAGAGAAAAATCCAATATTTGGTCATGTGTTGAGGGGAGAAAAGTACGAATTACTTCGACTCATAATGTAGGGTAAAGTACAGGGTAAAACATCAGTGGGAACAGGCCAGAATTCATAGTTCAAAGATCTGAGAAGGTGGTTTGACCGACCAACTATAGGAATACTTCGTACTGCAGTTTCCAAAGCATTGGATCGCAAACCTTCAAGAAGAAAATGAAAACAATTTGCCAAAAAAACCAGTTGCACGATGAAGATTCCAGTGGAATTGACACTGGTGGCCCATTAAGTTCGTTAATCAAAATTGAAACCAAACCGCCCATGATTTTGAACTTGAGGCCATCCGAGACTCTCCGAAGATGGAAAGCTCCACTATCCACTGCCAGAATGGCTTCTCACTAATAACTCACCAAAACGTCCTTATTCCGAAACCCCGTAAAGCACACAACAACGCCCCGCATGGCCAGATTGAACAGCGGCCTGGTGTTGTCGGGCAGTTCTTTCGGGTCCTTCCTACCGAGCTGCTGAAGGGCCGGAGGCCCCAAGATGATCTGCCTGCACTTGCACAGGCTGTTGAAGAGGCTGCCGTCGAAATTGTCGATTATGTAGTACGTACAGCAGGCCGTATCGTTCATGTACTCTCTGCCGTCCTGCGAATGGACTACGGGCACTTCGAAGCTCTCGGCCACTGACTGCAGGCCAGAATCGTTGGCCAGGCCTCCGATAAGACAAATGCGACGGTCATAGTCTGCAAACATCACTTTGGTTAGTGGGTGAAGGGGCAATTAGCGCCTAATAGTGGCCCCCATTGTTTATGGGTCCTAAAATTTTTCACCTTGACAGGCTTAAATCAACACTGAGCCTAACCTATAAGTGGCTAATGGGCAAACTGGGGCTCAGAAGGACGAATCGACCCTTACCGTCGCTTTTGTGGGCCTCCTCGGCCGTAGAGTCGCTGCACACAGAACCCTGCGCCTGAATTTGAGCGTTATTTTCGTCCATTTTGGCCCCAAGTTTAGGGTTACATCAACAGGAAACCACACACAATCAGTGTTTGTTTTCACGGTCCCCTCAGCTGCACACTAACGGCTTGAGCTCGCACTGGGTCTGGACAATGTTTTTCTCGATTTTAACAACAATAAAAACGACATTTTTTCGCTATTTATTCGCGGAGGTTGGTAGAAAAATGCACCATTGAAATTTTGAAGTTTGAAGTCCATTCGCGGACTCTGATTGGCCAGCACCGTTTCTCTTCACCGAAGTTTGCCGCACTTCGAACGGTTTCGGTTGTACGTCGCTCGCACGTCATTCAGTTTACTGGCAAGCAACCGTTAATCAACACTGTTTATTTTTATTTGATTTCAATGCGAGAATTTCACTGAAACTGCCCGATTTTCCTGCTTTAGTAGTTTTAGATTTCAATGCGAAACTTTTCGGCACCGCAGTAATTTTTTTCTCGCCACAGGGCCGTCACGTTTTTTTTTCTGTCGAAAATTATTTCGGCTCTCGGATCAGCTTAACCATAGATGAAGGCAAGTAATGAGCTTGAATGCGGGGCAAAATTTGAAATCCCCGCAAAATAATTTTGTATTAAGTCTATTAGTCTGTCTCGCTTTACTTGCACAGGTACAATAAAGATGGACATAGAGGCTGTTGGGTCCATTAGTGCGAATAAATTGACACAACGACTTGTGTCAATTGCGTGCGTAGTGTTTGTTCGCAACTTGTTAATGTTTAGAGTTCTAAAGCAGTCTTTTATGTTAAATCGCAGTTTTTTCGACAAATTGTGGCTGCTGATGGAACGGTAAGAATGCAGCCTTTTTTGTTGAGCTTTATTGAGTGGCGGCAACTTTTACTTTTCCGAAAGAGCAATTTGCGTCTAATACACAAAACCCCGGTTGATTATGTGGAAGATTTGATCGATCACTTTCAACTTGGTTTAGTTTCAACTCCAGTTTCTCTCCAGCTTCAACTTTATAAGGTTTTATCCATCCGTAAGATATTGCGTCGATTTGGGTGACGTCATGTGGTACTCTCGCTGTGCTGACACTTTAAGTACAAGTTGTATTTTCTATTTGGGCGTGTCGTGCGGTTGTGGTGCTATTTCCTTGTCTAATGAATATAATTTAGTATACCTTATTTGGTTTTGTAACATTCCATTATTCTTTTTTAGTTTTTTCGCTACGATGTACTTGTGTTGTTAGCAATTTTAACTTTGATAAATTTTGGGAAGGAACGGCACCAAACTTAAGTTCTAAACCTGCATTTGGGAAGTATGTAATTCTAAAAGTTCGAATTTAAAACCCTCTCAAAACCATCATTTTTCAAATGCTTAGAGCATACTCTAGCGTAGGCAACGTGTGCTCGTACGACGAGCATTCGCCCATTTTGCTTAAAATAATGTCTCTCGCAAATCTATAAAACTTTATTTTCAGAGTTTTACAAGGCTTCGTATCACTACTGCAACCGTAAACTGCACGCCCCATTTTTTATATTACTGAACTCACACTTGAAAGTGGTAAAAAATCCAAAGAATTTTTTTTAAGTGTATTTTTTTAAATCCTCACCGGAATGTCTGGATTTGACGATGCGCTGCTCTCGCACAGAACACCTCTGAAGAAAACAGAAGTATTTTATTCGCAAAAACTACGAATGCTACAAGATTTTACAGAGCACAAAATTGTGAATAAATGACTAGAGCATCAACCAAAAAAAAATTACTTATTTCATCCATTCTGGTAGTTTTGGTACCACGACACTCAAGAATTCACCACTTGTCCAGAACGGATGAACTCGATTGTTTCATCAAAATATGAGTCCTACATAAGAGCAAATGCACAGCGAGTTTCACCAAAATATATGGTACCATTTCCGATATTTCAAAAAAGATAAATTTTTTGATGAACTTTGACCATCCTCCACTCCAATAGCATAGGAGCCAGACATTTTTTGTTAATAAAAGTTAGGCCAGATCGTCTTCTTTTGATGCAAAGACTATCGCAGTATCATTTTGATCATGTGCTTACAGGACACCATGTATTTCGCTTTTACAAGCACGCTTTCTTAGTGGTATTTCTGGCGAAAATTCGTTTTCCCACTGTTAATCTTCACGCAATTCCCAAAAGAAAACGCTCGACGCCATTGACTCTTACTTCAGTTAAAGGAATTTAACTAGTTATCGCTAATGGATGATTTATGTGAATGTTTTATTGGTCTATTATCATATTACATGCAAACAACATAATACTATAAAAAATGGTCTACAAAAATAGCCGATTTTCCAAGAGAGAATCGATCACAGGCCACTACTGCTTACTAATTTTTGGTCGAAAGGCCGTCCAGCCGCCCCTCGTAACCCAAATCTTCCCCTATTCGAATGCAATACAAAAACGAACTAATGCCCCTCCCCATCGGCTCCCCTATCGCCTTCGAAACTATCACATGTTCGCATTGGAATGTCGAATCGGAGACAGAAAGCGTTTGCATGGCGCGCAAGGATGGAAATAACGGAGCCCTAGGTGCAAGCGGTAACAAACTTAGAGGCTAAACTGTTGTGCAACAAGCAGGCAGACAGGCGAACTCTTAGAAACGACTAATATCACTAACATTTGTGTATAGTAGTAATAGTAACAATTCAATAAATTACTTAAACGATTAGGTGACTCATTAAATGAAGCAAAATGTCCAACCCTGTATAGGAGCCGATTCATACAAGCAATGATGATAGGAGAATTTTGAAAAACCTGCTGGCTCCTCTAATTTATTCACTCATTCGCTCTAACACAAACATAAATAATAGACTAAAATAATTTAGTTTAATAAATAAAGTACGGCCAAGCGGCAGCGTTTCGCCCATTCAAGCAACAGTCACTCGTTCGCTCATTGCACAAGAAGTAGAAATTAAACCGTGCCGAGTGCAGAGCAAGTGAGGAGGTCGTGCGTCCTCTCCTGCTCTGATCCGTCACGAATTCGCACCCAAGTGTACAGCCAGGGTCTAGCTTTGCGCAGATGCAAAACTGTCTTCCTCATCGCTGTAGTCGTCGTAAAGGAGCTGGCTGTAGTTGGAGGAGCTGCACGCAGGCGGCGCCGACCGAGATTCGTAACGAGGCGCCTTCCTGGGAGGGACGCCATCCTCCAAAAAGTCAAAGTCTTCACTGGAAGTGGGACTTCCAGGAGGATCGGGCGATTCGGACGTGCTGAGCGCGTTGAGAATCTTCCCCTTGCTTTCATGCCAGATGTTGGTCAACCTAGAAATGCGGATTGGAATTTCCACAGGGGCGCTTTCAAGTGCAACTCACCGCTCTTTCCCGAACAGCAGCAGGAAGTTCTCGATAAACTCCCTCGATTTTTCCTCCCACTTGGCGATCATGTCGTCTTTACGCTCGCCGATTGAGTCCATCACGCGCTTGCCCCTGTCTTTGAGCTCGTGCATCTTGTTCTGCAGCCGGATCTTCTTCTCGCTCAGATAGGAGATGTTGAGGTCTTTGGCTGAGTATCCGCGCGCCAGGTTTCTGCGCACGTAGATGTCGTAGTCGCGCACAATCCGCGCTACTATATCAGACGTGGACACGCCCTCCGTGCGCTCAGTGGCCACAAACATGCCCTGCAAATCGGCACTTGAATTAATTCAGGTTCATAAGAGGAGTTATGGTGATCAAACCTTGGCCTTCCACTTGGCATAGATGTCGTTGGAGTCATCCGAACCATAAGGAATGTCATCGTGGGCAATAAAGTCGATCTTATGCCGCTCCATGAAGTCCTCATCCACCTCCCAGGGGGCGTCGCGGACGATTTCGTCCACGTAGCGACAGTGACGCACCGCCTCATAGCGCTCCACCTCGTTCATAACGGTGCGGCCCTTCTTGCTGTGCGTCATTCGGTCACTGCAAACTGAGCCCCCACTTTACCTCATTCCGCCTCAGCTGCTCCCTCTTTACCTACCTCCCACGATGAGGTAGACGTTGGAGAAAACGTTCTTGGCCTGCATAAGTTGGCGGGCGTGTCCTTGATGAAATAGATCGTAGATGCCGTCTGCGTAGACGCGCACCGGACGCGGCGCTCGTCCGCTACGCGCCATCTCATACGAGATTCGCTGAGTGTAGTCGCACAGCTCCCGATTGCGATGCGCCAACAGTTCGTCGCTGAACGGCGCCTCTAGCCAGGTCGACTGCAATGGAGAAACTGTTAAATTTCCCTCCTGAGGACTCATGAATGGGGAGCCAACGCTTGACTTCAACCAGCCAGCAAACGCACAAATGACAGCTGGTCACGTCAAATAATGACATTCATAGTAGCAGGCTACTTGCATGTACAGGGCGGCCCAACGACTGAGTGAAGTCATTTTATGCGTAACCGGTATTACTGCTTCAAATTTTTATTGTCATATTGTAAAGGTACTAAGCGCTCATATTTTGAAAATATTTCATGCAACTCGGTAAATTTAATTTTTTTCAAGTAAAAACTTTTTAGGCTCGTTTAGCACATTTTTGGGGCTAATGTGACACATATTATTTTATAGATAAGTTCTATATTGTTGAGGCGGATTCATTTTTTTACAAACTTCTTTTTGGGTATTTTGTCTCAAAAATTTTTGTCTTTAAAAAAGACAGAATTTCCTCACGTCTTTTATTACAGATTGATAAATAGTGCTCCTATTTCGCAATAAAAACGAATTATTTAT